ACAAGGCTACCCACAAGTGATTCATGAAGAAGCGGTACTTACCCCAAGGTAAGGTCCATATTGTCTGTCTTTAGTTAAGACAGTAATGTCTTTGCTCATGATATGAAACATCTTTTTCCCCTTAACCAGGCAGTTGCAGCGGTGCAGAATGGCTGACCTCAGTCTTGCAGATGCATTAACTGAGCCACCTCCGGAAATTGAAGGAGAGATAAAGCGGGACTTTATTGCTACACTGGAGGCAGAAGCCTTTGATGATGTTGTGGGAGAAACTGTTGGAAAAACAGACTATATTCCTCTCCTGGATGGTGATGAGAAAACTGGGAACTTGGAGTCAAAGAAGAAACCATGCTCAGATATTAGCCAGGCTGAAGGTGGTAAGTATTTAAGCCAAACTGGATATATATGTTCAGAAAGTAGATTAGGGATTATGCTTTGGATTATAATCTTGGAAACCCTGAAGAAACTGAGCTGAGTATTTTAATATAAGCTAATAACTTTCTCTTTATCTAAATTCCTTTGTTAGAAACTGAGGAGATAGACTGACCACGCTTTCGTTCATGAGGGTGTGTTCATGAGTCTGTAGATTGCTTTTAACCCTGAAGTTTCTTCTGTAATGTTTCGACTACCATATAATCTGCTTCTTAATTTCCTAAATTAAGGTGTCTGCTGTGCGTTTCCTTTGAGAGTAGCTTTGTAAAGGTAGATACATAAATTCTGTGCTTACATCAGAATTTAATTCATACTGGAATCAGATGTCATTTATTGTCTTTGTTGTCATCCCAGGTCAGGATTAAAGCATGATTAAAGCCTTTAAAAGAGATTTGCTATTTTTATATATTCTTGCGTCAGATTTGCTAATATTTGGTTGAGGGTTTTTGTATCTATCTTTATGAGGGATGTTGGTCTGTAGTTTTCTTGTAATGTCTTTGTCTAGTTTTAGAATTAAGGTCATGCTGACTTCATAAAATGAGGAGTTGGGAAATGTTCCCTCCTCTTTTCTAGAATAGTTTGTATAGAATTGATACATTTTCTTTTTAATGTTTGATAGAATTCATCAATAAAGCTCTCTGGCCTTGGAGTTTTCTATGTCAGGTTTTTAAGTAGGAATTGAATTTATTTAAGAGATAATGGAACTTCAGGTTATCTATTTCTTCTCATGTGAGCTTTGTGTCTTTCAAGGAATTCTTTGGTCCATTTCCTCTAAGTTGCAAAAATGGGGACAAAATTATAATATGACCTTATTCTTTTTTTTTTTTT